AGAGACTATGCAGTGGCAGGGTCCAAGTTTCTGTTCCAGCATCTTGGCCGGACATTCGGTCAAGTTGGAGGGCGGTGGGTGTCTTTCGAGTCGTAAACTCATGTCCTGTGGATCCCAGCCCCTAAATCTCCGGAACCTAAACATCCCTAGGCCTTAAAATCCCAGGCCCTGAATCCTGAGCTGTAGAGTGATGTAGACGACGCAGTGTCTGTGGATTGTATAGAGAAGCCCCGAAGATTCCCCTCGGGCACTAAGCCCGATACCCTAATCACCAATTTACCTTTCCCATGTTTTGTACACAACCCTAGATAGGGTAAAGGGTTATGGTTCTGCGCCTCAACATCACAGCTTAAGCCCCAACGGCCCTAGGCCCTAAGCCTTACGTATAGGCCCCAAACCACCTGAAGCCATAGACTCCAACACCCGAAGCTCAGAGCCTGAAAGTCTTTCTGCGGGCTTAGCCCGATCTCCGAAGTCCAAGGGCAAGGGAAGGGCCCAGAAGCCGAGCCCCACCATGGGCAGGACGCGCTCGACCAGACACCGCTTCACGGGGCTGCCGAGTACGGCCACGACCACGAGAAGACCGCGCAGGTCCTTGTTGACGCAGGCACGGATGTTGCTTCCCGGAACTCTTTTGTCGCCAGATAGGGAGAAGGTGTTTGAGGAGGCAAGCAGCAGAGGTTCGGCAGGGCCCTTGTGAATTGAGCGCCAAATAGGCTCTTGTATCTGCTGTTGCGGCATAGGTGCACCGTGCAGGTTGATAGCCCCAGCTGAGAGTTTTGAATCTTAGACATCTGATGATGGGGCCATGCTAGGGTTCTCAAAGAATGGTACTGTAGCTCCAAATCTCCATCATCATTGCTGAGCTGGGAAGAAAGCCAAGGTTCCAGGTTCACGGTTTGAAGCGCAGACTCGGGAAAGGTCTTCAGGAATCGCCTCGAAGGCGGAGGTTCACTCGGCAACTTAAATATGGCAGATAACGGGTGCGGGGAATCTCAAGATTCGTGGCTCGTGCCGGGTCCTTACTTCCAACCAAAGACTGGTGGCCATCATGAGCCAGGCGGAACTATGCTTGTCAGCAACATCCCTCCACAGCAACTAACGTGTTTGGGGGCCTTGGAAATCCGTGTCGCGAGGCCAGGCACCTGTTAGTTGGCATACGTTCGCAGCTGCGATTGATATACAACTCTTGCATAGTTTTCCTTGACCACCAAGTGTCAACGGCTTAGCCGCTGATTGCGAGTCCTTTGTTATTGTGCCTCTCCTTACAAGACCCGTCGTGCTGCCGGGCCACGTGTTGAGGCAAGGTATATCAATATCGTATCAGTAGATTGCGGATCCTGGTGAATGCAGGTGCGGACGTCAATGCGAAGGACCTCCGCCGCAGCTTATGAAGTGGCGGTTGACCACCTGATGCTGGCTTTTAGGGTTTAGGGTGACTCCTGTCTTGCGGTTGCTGGTGACAAGTACCTTTGTTGGGTCGGATGCGTGCAGACACTTCTGTCTGGAGGAAAGCGGGGGATCTGCGCAGCCCGAGCCTACCGGCCTACCCTCCCCAGTGCATAGCCCTTCGTGCTGTTATCCCATGTTGGACATAAGGCAGGGTGGAGCTAAAGCCTGAAATTTCATGAGTTTGGAGGCAGATAGGTCGGATAGGCTGATGCTGCGCGTCTTTCGGGAGCGGGCAAGAGACCATGGCAGGGTCCAAGTTTCTAGTTCCAGCATCTTTGCCGTATATGAGGTTGAGGGGCGGTGAGTCACAAAAATCATAGCCCTTGGACCCCAGCCCCTAAATCTCCGGAACCTTGACATCCCTAGGCCTTGAATCCTGGGCCTTAAAACCTGAGCTGTAGAGTGATGTAGACGACGCGATGTTTGTGGAATGTAGTGACGCCCCACAAGTGCCCCCTAAAACTCGATGCCCTATTTCCCAATTTACCTTTCCCATGTTTTGTATTCAACCCTTTCGAGGGGGTGCAAGCATAGGGTGTTGGTTGGGCACTCCTGTCATTTGTGACTCCCTAGGCTCTCTTGATGTTTTTGAACGTTTGTCTTCACGAACCTTGTTGTCCAAAAGCCGACCAGGGAGTCATAAATGACCGGTGGTTCAACGGTCAACGGCTGAAAATGGAGACCCTTGCAGGGTTCTGGTACATGCCAGCGCATGCACCCGATTGTTTTGATCTTTGAAACGGAAAACAGGGAGTCGCAAATGACTGTAGTCAGTTTGCCCGAATCTCTAATATTTCCTAGGCGCGGTGCTAATTTTTGAGAAATCTTGGTTTTCCCTCGGCGTGATGCATTTTTTCGCGGAAAATGCAGTTTTACGAGGAGCCCGACACCGAGGCTTGGGGGGGGGCAAGGCCGGCGGCAAGACCCGCGGAAAGACAAGGGGCAAAGGAAAAGGAAAGGGCAAGCAGCTTCCAAAAGGGAGCACCGCCAAGCAGCGAGGCCAAGCCGCCATTGGAGGCCGCCAGGTCTGCCTGATATGCGGGCAATCGGGGCACTGGGCCCGAAACTGCCCAAATTGCAACAGCGACCCGAAGAAGCGGAGGATTGGCGACGGCGACGGCGACGAGGTGATGATGGTTGCCGAAGTCTTTGCCATGGACCAGGATGGCACCAACGAGGAGGAGCCAGTGAGCCACGCGACTCAGGACGGAGGAGCCTCCTCTGTCCTCGGCAGCTTCCACAGTGTGCGGTGCTACCTCTTGTACACCCTGGAACAGGGCTACGACCTGAGCGAGATCGAGACCTTTTACTGTCCGCTACGGCAACTCCGAGACCGAGCGGGCAACTACATGCATCCTCCTGCCGGCCGTTCTTGGAGGCAAGAAGGTGAAGGTTTTGACCTACCTCATCGACGGGACGGCCCCGATCCTCTTTGGGAGGCCGCTGCTTAAGAAGCTTGGCATTGCAGTCGACTACGGCAACAGTACCATGCGTTGGCATGGCTGCCCCTGGGCCCCAAGGGCGAACACTTGCTGAACTTGGTGGAAGATAGGGCCCTGCTCTTGGAGGATGGCGAGGCCGCTGCCACCTACATGCCCGACGACTTCGAGACCCACATCGACTACCAGAACCCCCTCTCCTTGGATGCTGTCTTCACTCTGACAGAGGCGACGGAGCCCCACGTTGAGTTCGTCGAGAACAACGGCAAAACCTCGAGACGACCAAGGTGTGAAAGTGCAGTAGCTTGCCTGACCTGTGGACATGTGCCTGTGACCTTCGGTGCTGTTTAGCGTGTAGTTTCAGATGCGAGTTAACCACCTTTACCGCAGCACGCGGCTCTGGGTGATGCAAGCAAAAAGGCCCGCGCGAGCTAGGTGCTGGCATGCAGGCAGCAGTTTGAAGCGGTGCATTCGCATTGGTTGTGCGGAGCAGGGCTAAGCGATGTCAGGCGGCACAGCGACGCCTCCTCAGGAGGTGGATGGCAACGGCGGCGATGGTGCTCCTCGGGATGGGGCGCCGGCTAGTGACGGATGGGGAGGCACTCGTCCGTGGACATCTTGGGATGACCGAACTTCAGCAGAACAGTATGGGTCGGCAGGCCTTCAGTGGAGGCGCTTGGGGGAATGCTTGGTGGCAAGGCCAATGGGAGAGACAGCCTGCGAGTAGCTGGGATGAAGGCTACTATGGTAGGAAGTCCAACTGGCCAGGCTATCGATGGAATGACAGCGACCGCACTTACTGGTCGGGATGGAACGCCAGCGCGAACCAACCTGCAGATCAAGGCGGGCGGAGGGCTTCAATGCAGTCCACAACGGTTACTGAGGAGTTCTCAGCAGATGTTTCAGAAGAAGTGAAGGAAGCAAGCGATGCAGGGAGTCAGGCTAAGAACTCCCCGAAGACGGGCAAAGATCATGTACCTGAGTATGATGGCAAAACCCCGATGCGAGATTATGAACGCAGAGTTCGCTTGTTTGAGAGTGCCACAGGGATTGACCCCAGCTATCGTGCTCAGAAGCTGATGGAGAGGCTGACCGGCCACGCTTGGACCGCGACCGAGGGCATCGATCTACAGGAGCTCAAGCATGAGGATGGAGTTAAGCGGCTTCTGAGTCACTTGTACCAGGAGTTGGAGCCCCTCGAGCATTTGAGAGTCTTCTCGACGCTGACCGAGTTCTACCGCGGCTTCAAGAGGACATCGGGCCAAGAGTTTATTGCCTATGACATGGAGTTTCGCACCCACCTGAAGCGTCTGGAGGAGATTGGTGCGAAGATCGATGGCTTGAACAAGGCCTATTGGTTCTTGGAGAAGGCAAGCTTGTCAGACGAGTTGAGGAAGCAAGTGATTTCGGCTGCCGGCGGTGAGTATGATTACAGTCGATTGAGGAAAGCTCTGATGGCGATCGTCCCGAAGGTGAAGCGGGACGAGGAATCCTCGACGAGCCACACAAGGACTCCGTATAGACAGTGGAAGACAAAGGGTGGAGCGAGACAAGTGAATGCCACGACCGAGGAAAACCACGAGTCGGACCACGGAGAAACAGAAGATCACGATGAGGCACATCCCGATGAGCTTGAAGGCGAATTGGAAGTGCTTCTCACGCAGGCAGCTCGGAAACGTGCCGAAATTGAACGGGCACGCGGGTTCTCGCGAGGTGAGACCAGTGAGGCACGTGAAGAGAGGATCCGCAGCATGAAAGCCAAAATGCCGTGCAGCGCGTGTAAGGCGCACGGCCTTACCGTCTACGGCCACTGGCACAGCGATGCCGCCTGTCCTTACCGGACCAGTGGACAGGACAGTTCCAAACGGGATGCCAAGAAAGACAAGCCTGTGCTCGCCGTGGTCGCCGAGGAGTTAAGCGACTCCGATGAAGGCGATGAACTGGCGGCCATCTACATCGCCACCACCGACGCGACCGATGACGAGCATCATGATGATCCGCAGGAGGTGTGCACTAACTTTGTTATGCAGACTTGGACAGGAACCTGATCGGGATAATCTTGCTCTCAGCGACACATGTTGCGCCAGGACGGTGGCCGGGACCCAATGGATGCAGCGACATTTGAAGCTCCTCCAGAAGCACGGGGAAGACGTGCATATCGTCGACGAGGCCAGGCCTTTCCGATTCGGGGGAGGACCCAGGATTATGCCATCATATGCGGTGATTATGCCGTTACACCTGGCGGGAGCTTCTAAGACAGCACGGGTGAGAGTGAGTGTCGTCGACCAGGAAGTCCCATTGTTGCTCAGCAAGTCGACTCTGAAGGGCTTAGGGATGGTCATGGACTTGGAAAAGGGTAAGATCCTGTTTCGAGAGATGAAAGCGGAAGTTCCACTCAGGGAGACGAAAGCTGGGCTCTGCGGCTTCCAGATCAACACAAGGCCTTCCAGAACCAGGTGGGAAGTCCCTCCACGACAACTGGTAGAGGATGACCACGAGATCGTCATAGGTGAAGCGGGCAGTGATCAGGTATGCATGGCGGACAATCCGGTGCAGAACGACGGGCTTCACGACAAGGTTCGAGCCACATATCAGAATGTTCAACGGTGTGAAGATGAAGCCCGCAAACTTTATCATGCCCAAGACTATTCCTTTGAAGCCATAACACGATTGGTCAGGATGCTCCCTTTCCACACCTCGAAGCGGCATCGCGCCATCAACGGCGGCAAAGGCAAGGGATATGAAGCTTGGGTTGCCGGGATCTACAGTCACGGTGCATGGACCGGGGTGACTAAGAGAACATTGCGGTATCCGAATGTTGTTCGCTATGTGAACATGTTCATGAGATCGCATACAGATGGAGAGTGGTCATCTTTCACCTTGATGAAGAATGTTTCGACTGAAGTTCATGTGGATCGTCACAATGATAAGCAGGCCCTCGCCACGACGGTCACCTTCGGTGATTTTGAAGGAGGCCAGCTGTGGGTTGCAGATGAAGAGGTTAGCGACTCCGAGTGCACGTGGAAGCAGGGGAATCAGGGTGAATGGATACGTGGCCGGCTTTGTGACACTTATCGTCGACCACTTCAGTTTGATCCTCATGTTCCGCATGCAACCCACGATTGGAAGGGCGAGAGGTGGTGTTTGTCGTGTTACTCAGTGCGAACGGCGGCCCAGGTCGATGACCAGATGAGAAAAGCAATGAAGAAGATGAAGTTTCCTCTTGCGAGGAAAGAAGTGACCAGGACCTTTGGGAAGCAGCAGGGTCACACATACATGTCATCAAATCACCCAGAGCCGCTTAAAGATGCTGATGATGTGGATGTGTGTGATGAGCTCAATGCAACTCCGCAGCTGAAGCTTTCAAGATCGACAAGTCCGGGGATTGAGTACTCTGTGAGGGCCGAGTGCGGGTCTCAACATGTCGACCCTTGCCCCGAAGAGGAAGGAGGACTATGTCATCGCAGTGTCCGGCCGGTGCAAGGTGAAGCCGGAAGAACTGAGGGCTCACACCCTCGATCGGCTGAAGGAATTGTGGGCGGTGGTCAAGCCGCCCCGGAAGGGATCATGCCTCCCAGCAGGGTGGCGCAAGATGGACCTCGAAACTCTCAAGGAGGTCTACGCGAGCCATGTCGTGGAAGACGTGGGTCGAGACCACGACAATCACTGGGGCCGCTGGTCCCGGAGCCAGCTCATCATGGAGCTCGAAATGTGGGCGGTGGAGGCCAATGCTGCTTTGAATCTCGATCGGGACCTCGAGATGGCAGATCCGGGTCCCCTCTGCACCGTGTGCGGGATACCGATGGTGCAACGCAACAATCGTCTGACTCACGAGCCCTTTTGGGGATGCAGGCGATTCCCAGCATGTCGCACCACGTTGCCGTACACCTACGACAATCGCCCGACCAAGGAGGTGCAGAAGGAGTTGAGGGCGGCTGCGATGGTCAAGATCAAGGAGGAGAAGAACTTCCTGCCGAAGGAGAGGCCCAAGAATCGCCGGAGCCCACCACAGGGGGGCGCGACGGCTTCGTCCGATCACTCTTGGCACAAAACGGGCCCAGTGGACATCGAGTCTTCCGACAACGACGAGCCCAACCAGTTGGTGAACACGAATCTCACGGAGGAGGAAGTGGAGCTCGTGATGGAGATGCGGAAGAAGAAGGCCGGCAATGTGAAGGGCAAGGGACATGGAAACAGTTCCGACGAGAAGTGAAGCATATGCCGATGCCAGCTGAGCTTCAGCCTGCTGCGAGTGATGACGTAGCAGATTCTCCGCGGGAGCCTCTAAGCCCTCATGAGGTTCGCGATAGGATTCAAGAAGGCGTTGAGCGGAGGCGTCGGTTGAAGAAAGGCGTGGCTAAGAGGCTCCTTGGAAACGCTCGGGCCATAGTGGCTGGGGTATTCATCGCAACCGCTGCCCTGGCCGGTGCAGCGGCGGAGGCGGTACCATATGCTTCCCGGATTCGGCCCGATGTGGTTGAGGTCGGTACGACCGAGACTCATTTCCAGCAATCTTTCTCTCGTTGGGGTTGGCGGTCACAACGGTGTGAGCACTTAGCGGGTGACCTGGCCCAAGCGGACAACCGGGAAGCTGTGATGAACTGGGTTGACCAGGTCTGTCCTCGGATCGTCATATTGAGTGATTGTTGTCCCACCGTCGGTCGGTCGTGTCGGTCGCAATGCAGTAGTTCACAAGACAGGCGACGTGAGAGACAGAAGAGACACGACTTGGAACAGAGGTATCAGTTTATACATCGCTTGATTGATGGACAGGTGGGGCGAGGAGATCATGTTCTCATGGACATGCCGGTGCGATGCGACGGTAGTGCTCAACACTTTCTTGAAGTCATATGTAGGCATCCGAAAGTTCAGTGTGTGCAATGCGATCATCATGACGGCAGTGTGAAGAAGTGGGCCACCACGTGCGAACCCATAGCAGAGGAAATCGGGAAGTGTGATATGAGCACATGTCGTAGCTCGGACCGCCAGGTTGATGTGTGGCGTCGGAGATTTGCACAGGCCGTATGTCGAGGGTACACACATTACTTGAAGAGCGCCGAGCCTGGAAGGGTTCGACGGATGCTCCGAAGCCTCTCAGCCAGGATCCGTAGAAAGGTTCATCATGACGAGGAGGGCGTATCTGAGCTCAGATGGAATGAGAAAAATATTCTGCGTGCTCTCAAGCAGTGGAATGTCGTCTATGCGCAAGGGGATGAGATGAGTGATGATGACGGTGATGAAGAGATGATCCCCGATCCGCAGGAGCCTAGAAGTGAACAGACGGAAGCGGCTGGGGAAGAACAGGCACGCGGATCTCAGGAGCCTAATCAGAGAGTGCGTCCGAAGCTTGCTTCGGGTGGGATCACGTTTGAGGTTCCAGCTGGAAGGCGCCTCAGTGAGGCGATACGCCACGGGCTGATCAAAGCTCATTGTAACTTGGGACACCCTAGCAAAGAAGACCTCGCGAGATTCCTGAAGTTAGGTGGCGCACGTAAAGAGGTTGTCGAAGCTGTCAATTGGATGAAGTGTGTTACATGTGCTCATGCTAGGCGTCCCAGTACACACCGCACCACGAATATGCCCCCATGCCAGCTGGAGTTTGGAGACGAGGTCCAGTTGGATTGTTTGTGCATCAGGGATGCGAACAAGGAGAATTTCTGGTTTCTGTCCATTCTTGATCGAGCCACGTCATACCACGTTTTGGAAATGTTGCGGGATCATTCTCCTTTAGAACTTCATCGAGCTTTCGATAGAGGCTGGAGTAAATGGGCAGGTGTTCCTTCGCGTGTGACTACCGATCTTGAAGGAGGCTTTATCGGACCTGATTTCTGGACGAAAGTCTCACAGTCCGGCAGCAGTCTCGTTTCGATAGCTGGCACCGCGCATTTCCAAGCCGGCAAGATAGAACGGCACAATTCCACCATAAAGGACATGCTGTTTGCCACTATCAGGCAGACGGCTACTGTTGGTCGAGAAGACATGCGGAAGCTTGCCAGGGAAGTTGCGTGTGCCAAGAATTCTCTTGTGAGAGAGCATGGCTGGGCGCCAGTCGCTTTGGTGTTCGGAAGGGAACCTCGAGTCTTCGGTGAGATGTATCATCAGGGGAATCCTACGGCATATCATCCTTCGGTAGGAGAGGCCGGCAGTGATGTTGCCAGCCGAATGAGGTTTCGGTACCATGCCAAGATGGAGTTTGTTCGAAGCCAGGCGAGACAGATGCTTCTCCGAACTGCCCACAATAGGACTCGGAGGTTGCCAATCCCGAAAATAGGACAGATGGTGTTCTTCTGGCGAGCTGAGAAGAGTAAGAAAGGTGACAGTCAGAGTAAGTGGGTTGGTCCGGGTTATGTGGTTGGGCTTCAGGATGGGAATGCTTGGGTCGCGGTAGGCGGAAGGTGTTTTCTGGTGGCGGGAGAACATCTTCGGGAAGCCGTTGGCGACGAAAAGCACTACGGGAATCCTGAGGTTCAGAAGGCCATAGAGAAGCTACGTATGAGGACCTTGTCGGCCAACCAGATCCCGAGGGAGAGCCTATGGACCTTGAACAGCAGCCATTGTGTCAGGAGGTTGCAGACGAACTCATGACAGATGAGAGAAGCCTGGACACCGATGGTTTGAGTGACGAACATGCCCAGATGTCAGGACAGGTTGGATGGCACGTTGATAGCAGCGGTAGTCCGGTGTTGGTTTCATACAAGGCTTGGGCGTTCAGGACTCCCGAGCCAAGGTATCCAGGTGAGCGTTTTCCATTTCGCACGTCATGGGTTCATGTGAATGGCCATTGGGAGTGTGTGGAGAATGAAGTGAAATGGATGGAGCTCGAGGATCAACATCAGTTCATTCCTCAGGCTCCTGTAGCTGGCCTGATCACGATCTTCCGAAACCGCACTCGAAAGGATGTGGTTCTTGATGACGTGCCACTGAGCGTCAAGCGAAGGAAACAGCAATCCCCTCCTCAACAAGTGCATGTCGCGAATGCGGGTAGCCAGAGTAAGACGAAACTTAAGCGCATGCTTGAGAAGGAGATTCCGTATGCCAACATTCCTGAAAAAGATCGAGAGCTGTACAGACAAGCAGAGGAGAAGGAATGGAAATCTTGGCAGGACTACGAGAGTTGCGAAATATTGAGTCTTGAAGAGAGTCAGCGCATGGAGAATGAGAGACCGGATAGGATCCTACCCAGCCGTTATGTGTTTCGCAACAAGAATGCCGGGTTGCTTGACGCTAACGGGAAAGAGTTACCTGTCAAAGCAAAGGCTCGGCTGTGCTTGCAAGGACATTTGTGTCCAGACAGCCGGACAGGACAAGTCCAGGTTGACAGCCCCACCATTGAGCGAGTATCTACCATGGTGTTCCTTCACATGGTTACGAGCCTAGGCTGGACAGGTGAGTGGTTCATCGGTGACATCTCGAATGCTTTTCTTCAGGGAGCTCCTCTGCCAGGGAAACCAGACATGTACATGAGACAGCCTAAACAGGGTTTGAGCGGGATGAAGCCAGGTCAAATTCTTAAACTACTCAAACCCGTCTACGGCAGACCGGACGCTCCACGAGCCTGGTACAACGAGCTCGCCAGGATCCTTGAAGAAGAGATGGGGTTCAGTAAGTGCAAGACTGATCCCGCGATGTTTGCTCTGCGAGACCAGCAAGGAAATCTTCAAGGATTGATGGTGGTGCACGTTGACGATGTGATGTTTTGCCATAATGGAAGCGAGGCTGGGAGGCAGGTTGAAAAGAAGTTGACGGATCGTTTTCCTTTCGGGACCTGGATGAAGGTGAGTGAACAGAAGAGTGGAGTGACGTACTGTGGTAAAGAGATCAACGTCATCGAGAAGGATGGTGAAACGTGTGTCACATTGGCTCAGAATGCTTTCATTGATGGTCGCCTTCAGACAACGAAGATTGATCCGTCGCGACTTCGTGAGCCAGATGCCCGGGCCAATTCGACTGAGGTGACTGATTACAGGTCAATCACGGGAAGTCTGCAGTGGCTAGCAGTTCAGTCGAGGCCGGACATTGCTTTCGAATGCAACCAGCTCCAGAAGAGGATAGCGGATCTTCGAGTCTCCGATCTGATCAGAGCCAACAAGGCCGTTCGGGAAGTATCACGACATAGGACTGAAATCCTCTTCAGGCCATTGGGACATGATGCTGAACTTGTGACTTATCATGACGCGGGTCTCTACAGTAGCGTGGGCGTTGAGATTGACGAGAAACAGAGTGAAGATATACTCCAGAGTCATATTGAGAAACGATTGATCTATTCTCAAAAGGGTGCCTGTATTGGTTTCGTGAAGAAAGGAGCCATTGAGCAAGAGGGTAGAGTTCATCTGAATCTCATCGACTGGAAGAGCGCTACCAATCGTCGCGTCATTGAGTCTTCGTTCGCTGCCGAGACCCATGCTGCTATCATGGGACACAACATGTCGCGATTTGCCCAAGTCTTGTTGTGTGAATTGAAGTATGGGTCAAGGGTGATGTCCGCTGTCGAAGATGATGGATGGCAGCAACTGGTTCCGCTTACCATGGTTACCGACTGTAAGAGTATCTACGATACTATTCATAAAGATGGCCAACACGTCGGGGAGAAAGGAAATATAGTGCACGCCGTGCTGCTTCGCCAGTTGCTGACAGCATGAGCAACCGGGTAAGGCGAGACTGTTATGGGTTCCTACTAGGTGCCAGCTTGCGGACGGTTTGACGAAGGCTCATAGGGGCTCTGACTTGAGAGAACAGCTCGGCGCCGGGTTGCTGTTTCACGAGAAAGCACTTAAGAAACGGGCAAGTACAGTCAAGTCAACAGGTCAGAGAGAGGGTTATACCGGTGTGAAAGTGCAGTAGCTTGCCTGACCTGTGGACATGTGCCTGTGACCTTCGGTGCTGTTTAGCGTGTAGTTTCAGATGCGAGTTAACCACCTTTACCGCAGCACGCGGCTCTGGGTGATGCAAGCAAAAAGGCCCGCACGAGCTAGGTGCTGGCATGCAGGCAGCAGTTTGAAGCGGTGCATTCGCACAAGGGTCATGACACGGAGACGGTTGGCGACGACGAACCCAGGGCAGAGACACCGGACTCCAACACACACCCGGACCGAGAGCTACCAGGGACCAACGAGACCTACCACAAGCCCAACGAGATCCACCACAACAAGCCCAACGAGATCCACCACAACAAGCCCGACGAGATCCACCACAACAAGCCCGACGAGATCCACCACAACAAGCCCGACGAGATGTACCACAACAAGCCCGACGAGATCTACCCGACGAGACCTACTGCAACAAGCCCGATGAGATCTACCTGCAAGGTCCCCGTGAAGACGCTGAGCCGTGGCAAGTTGCGCAGCCTCATCCTGTCAGCAACCGAGGCAGGCAAGCGTCAAAAGCGGATGTTGCAGCAGGCTGGTCGGGTCGGTGGCCACAAGAAGCTCATCTGGGAGGTCTTTGCAGGGAAGCGCCTCACCGCGAAAGAGCAGTGAACGTGGAGCTCAGGTTGAAGTCTTTTCCAAGAAGACCGGCTGGGACCTGACCAAGGCCAAGGACCGAAGAAAGTTTCTCCGAAAGTTGCACGACGAGCTCCCCGACGAGGTGCTGTTGTCCCCACCAAGCAAGTTGTGGGCACCGAGCCTGGAGCCTGGAGGCCAGGATGATTGACCACGCTGCCAACCAGAAGGAGCTTTTCCAGAAGCGGCGCGAGGATCACGATACGGTCCTCACCTTTGCAGCTTTGGTGTACGAGGCACAAGGCCGTGGAGGACGACACGCTCACCTGGAACACCCATGGACCTCGAGAGCGTGGCTGACGAAGGCGTTCAAGCGCTTAGCCGGCTACGCGACCAAGGTGGACCAATGCCAGTACGGACTCTGCCTTCCTGATGCCAGCGGTGCCCGCAAGCCTGCGCAAAGGACTACGTGCTTTATGACAACCAAGGCGACCATGCACGAGAAGCTCGCGAAGGTTTCCCAACACGTGGCGGATCAGGGAGCAAGGACGGAGGCTGCTGAGGAGTTCCCGCCGAAGCTTGCAGCCAAGATTGCAGAGCTCATGGTGGAGGAGAGCCCCGATGAGCTGCTAGCTGGCCTGGCTGCCCGGCGCGATGCACGAGATTTCTCAAGTCCAACGAAATTAAATGCCGTTGGACTTACAAATTTCTCAAGTCCAACGAAATTAAATTCCGTTGGACTTACATTCTCAGATGTCTACGCCGAGACCGACGAGGCCCAGCTCCAGAATGGTGCGCAAAGCGAGCCCAAGGAGCCGGACAGCAAGGACGAGTCGATCGAGATGAACCGTCGACTACGAGGCCGCGTTGAAAACCAAGCGATGAACTACATCACCAGGCTGCACAAGAACCTGGGACACCCCTCAAGCCAGGTGCTGCTTCGGATGCTGGAGGAGGTTCAGGCAACCGATGCTGTGAAGGATGCCGCCAAGAATTACATATGTCGTTTGTGCTACGAGCGACGGCCTCCTGCTGGCGTTCCCCCTGCTGCTGGACTACCTGCACGACACTTCAACGACCGCGTCCTTGCCGACAGTGCCTGGGTGGACACGAAGGATGGCCGGAAGTGCGTGCTGACCTTGATGTGCCAGGCCACTCGCTAAGTTGCAGTTCGTGTCCTCCACTTCGAGAAGTCGACCGAGTTTGTGAAAGGATCGAAAGGTCCTGGGTGAAGCACTTTGGGCCTCCGAAGTACCTGACGACGAGGCTAAGGGATGGAGCTCCCAATTTGTGAGGGAGTGGTGTGCTGACCACAATGTTACCATCGAGGTGGCCCCAGCCGAGGCACACTCGTGGGTTAGGTGCTTGTGAGCGCCGACACCAGGTTGTGCGCCGCGCCCTGGAGCTCTACATGGACGAGAAAGGCGAGAGGATTGTGAAGACCCTGGCCGAGGCAGCGATCTACATCCCCAGCCAGGTGAATATTTTTTTTTGTGAAGGGCGTCACTCCACACCAATGGGTCATGGGACGCAGCCCCATGCAAGCTACGAGCCTGACCGCCGACTTCTTTAACCCGGGCCACGACGCAATGGACGAGAACACCGACTTCGCCACCCTGGAGCGCCGAAGGTTTGCTGCGAGACAGGCCTCTATCAAGGCGGACACGGATGCCAAGCTGCGCCGGGCCATGAACCAGAACTTCCGGGACAGTGTCGACAAGACCCCTGCCGTTGGACAAAGATGCTGGTTCTGGCGAGTGCAGGGCACTGCAGAAAAACAAGTGGCGAGGCCCTGCTCGGATCGTGGCCCACGAGCACAACGACGACGGCAAGCTGGTGGTGGTGTGGGTGACGCATGGCACACATCTCATACGATGCTCACCGGGACAAGTGCGATCCATGGTGGAACAGGCAGGCTCAGCACCGGTTGCTGATCCTGCAGCTGCCCTTGCTGACCTACAGGACCTAAAGGCCCGGAGCACCACCCAGTTCAAGGACTTCTACGACGGCGGCGACCCTGTGATGGAGGATATGTTTCAAGATGGCCCTCAGCTTGACGACGAACTGGCTGAATACGAGCGCAGGCTTGCCGGCGACGCCGACGACGAGGATGTCGACATGGACCCGGTGCCCGGCGCTGTGCTTATGTACCAGCGTCATGCTGAAGAGCGTGCTGCTCCTGTTCGTCGCCGCCTGCCTTCCGAGGAGCCGGACCCTGACAACCCGGAGGATGCCCCCCCCACCCGCCCGGCATCTCCCAAGCGCGCTCGTGCGCGTGCCCCTGCTGCGCCTTCTTCTTCTGCTGCGCGTTCCTCTTCCTCCCCCGTGGTGGTGCCTGCCAGTCACCATGATGTGCCGGTACCAGTGGAGGATGGTGACGACCTCGAGGTGAGGAAGTCTTTGTCGTGGATGCCAGCTCCCGCAACCTACCTAAAGGTGGCTGGTAGTGGATGGTGAGTTTGCTGTTGATGATGCTTACTTAGCCCGAACCGAAGCACGAGAGAAAACCATGACGGTGGAAGAGCTGGCCAAGATGGTCGAGGCCAAGAAGCGGGAGCTCGAGTCCTTCTTCAAGAACCAGGTGTGGCAGTTCACGACGCTGGAAAAGGGCGACGAGAGTCGTGTTGTTACGGCACGTCGGGTGCTAACATGGAAGCCGGGCGAAGGTGGTGTGGCTCCTCGTGCAAAGGCGAGACAGGTGCTTCGTGGTTTTCAGGACCCCGACGTGCTCACCCTCGACGACAACGCCGGCCCAACAGCATCAAAGCAGTCGAAGTTTCTCATTCTTGGCCTCACCCCCATCTTTGGCTGGAGGCTGTATGGTGTTGATGTCCGGACGGCCTTCCTGAGTGGAGCCAAGTTTGAGCGGAGGATCATTGTTCGCCTTCCTGCCGACTGTGGGCCACTTCTTGGGAGCAATCAAACAGGCGGGCCCACCTACATGAGGCTGCTCAAAAGTGCTTACGGCCTTGCTGATGCACCTCTCCTTTGGTGGCGAGAAGCCGACCGGCGACTCCGAGAAATGAAATGGAACAGGCGCCCGCTGGACCGCCGCTTGTATTGCTTCTACGGCAAGAGCGGCGACCTCCTTGGAGCAATTATCCTTCATGTGGATGACATCTTGGCTGGAGGCAAGGCGGAGAGCGAGGAATTCCAGATTGCCGTGACCAACCTCAAGGATCTCTTCGACTTCGGAAAGTGGGTCGAGATGACGGGGAAAGCAGAACATGATGTACTGTGGGTGGCTTCTGGAGACTGTGGGTCCCGATGTGATCCTCTCCTTCGGCGACTATGTGCGCGAGGTTGCCCCCATGACTGTGAACAACAAGGAAGGCAACGAAGACCTCTCACGAGCTGGGAGGTGACAAAGCTGCGCGGCCTTCTTGGTGCCTTGCAGGTGGCCAGCCACCCAAGGGATGCCACCGCTGTCTGCTTCTGTCTCCCTCCAGGCCGCGGACGTGAACCAGGCGATCACCAACACCGCTGCCGAGCTGAACAAGACCCTTCGCTTCGCTAAGAGCATGGTTAAGGAGACCCTCACCATGACCAAAGTGACCCCGGCCCTGGAGAACGCCTGCTTCGTGTTGCTTTAGTGATGCCGCTTTTGGGGTTCGCTCGGACCACTCCTCGCAGGGTGGCTACATCATCCTCCTGACCGACAAGGCCGTGCTCAAGGGCGAGACCGTGGAGTACAACGTGCTCAGCTGGAGGAGCTTCAAGCTGACGGGAGTCTGCAGCTCTTCTCTAGCAGCTGAAGCACAAGCTTGCCCGACGGCAGTGGATGAACTGATGATGCGGAAGACCATGGTGTCACTGATGGTGGACCCCATGCAGGATCCCAAGGCCGTGGAAACAGCCCGATGCATCGGTGCATCGGCCGTGGTGTTCGATGCCAAGGCTCTTTACGATGCCTTGCAGAGAAAAGGGTTCAACAGCCAGCAGGACAAACGCTCGGCGATCGAGATCCTTTGCATCCAGCAGGAGATCGAGCGATTGGGGGCTGAGCTTCGGTGGGTCAGTTCCGAAAGGATGCTGGCTGATGGCCTGACCAAGGCAGCCAGCCGACAGATGATGGCCGATATGCTAAGGACCCGCAAGATCTGCTTGAAGTACGACCCCAACTTCGCGGCAGCCAAGAAGAAAACTGTGGAGGAGCGGGCGAAGGCTACTGCAACGGCCTTTGGTGACCGAGCCTACGGCTCAAGGGCAGCTCGCCAGATCTCGCCACCAATTACAACTACATGGTTGACCTCCGCGACTTTGGCATCATCGCCCTGAACCTCCCAGGCTACTTCTTCCTCGCCGTCCTTGCGCTGGTGCTCCTCGGCTACGTGGTCTTTAGCTTTGGCTCTGGCACGCGAGCTACCACGACAGCAGAGACGAGCAGGACGACCACCGACACCGGAGCCCAGACCGACGACGACTACCGCAGACTCAAGGCCATGTGGCGACGCCAAGGGGAGCTTCTTGAGAAGCTCAAGAAGGAGATCGAGGACAAGGACCTACGCCTGGAGGCGAAGGGATCGGCGGATCGACGAGCTTCTTTACCGTGCTGACCGGGCTGAGTTTGAGTTGGCTCGAAGGGCACCACCACCACCTCAACCACACCCTCAACCACGTCCCTGCTGCCGTGCACCTTTCTACGACCGGTGAACGTTTCTCAGGACGGAGGTTTCACTTGAGCAGTCAGTGCCGTCACCTTCAGGGCTGTACGGTCCGTGCGATCACACCATGTGCAGACTGCACACGGTGAGCACATTCTTTTGCAAAGGGGAGGCCACAAAGTGGCAACACAATTTTCCTTTTCTCTCCCCTGTGTCAAGATCCGTGCCAGGACTTGGTGCAAGATCGAGCGGCCGCTGCGGCCATTGTGGATCGAAGGGAGGGCTTCAAGGCCTGAAGCGCTACGTCGTAAAAGTGGTTTGAGTGATCTGTGTTTTGCTTTGGGGATTTGACTTCGAGTGCGATTCCTCTGAGTTACCAACTCTTGAAGTAATACATAATATATGTGATATACAATATACAATATACAATATATAATATATAATATATTATTCTAATATATTAATATAAAACATCATGTATCATATATAATGTATAGTATATAACATGTAATACAATATATACAATATATAATGTATAATATACAATATGTAACATAGCGTATATAATATATTACTATAATATATTGTTATAATATATCATGTATCATATATAATGTATATTATATAGCATGTAATACAAAACATACAATAGAAAAGATACAAACATATAATATGTAATATGTAATATTCATTACATATTGTATAATATACCATATTTAATATACCATATATAATGTATAATATTTAATGTGTAGCATATAATATTTTAAATACATAGTATACAACATATAGAATATATTATACAGTATACAGTATATAAATTTTAATATATAATATATGACATATACTATATAGTACATATTATATACTATATACTATATACTATATACTATATATTATATACTATATACTATATACTATATACTATATACTATATACGATATACTGTATGATATACTGTGTAATATTCAATGTATAATATAGAATATTTATTATATATTATATGATTGATTTATATTATATAATATATAGTGTATAATATATAGTGTATAATATATAGCAATATATATATATATATATGAAAAATATTTAATATTTAAAATAGAATAGACAAAATATATAATATTCAATATAATGCATAATTTCATAATATGTAATATACAATATATAATATAATATCAGAGGAGTAAACCCTGCAGGAACTTATTACCGAAGACGAAAACCCTAAGGAGTGAATCCAGCATGAACCTTTTGCCGAAGATGAAGCCCTCAGGGGTGAATCCAAGAAGAACCTTTCACCCAAGACGAAGACCCTAAGCATTGAACCCAGCAGGAACCTATTACCGAAGACAAAACCCGAAGGAGTGAATTCAGCAGGAACCTTTTGCCCAAGGTGAAACCCCAAGGGGTGAATCCAAGAAGAACCTTTCACCGAAGACGAAAACCTTGAGGAGTTCACCCAGCAGGAATCTGTTACCGAAGGCGAAAACCCCAAGGAGTGAATCCAGCAGGAACCTTTTGCCAGAGATGAAACCCTAAGGGGTGAATCCAAGAAGAACGTTTCACCGAAGACGAAAACCCTAACGAGTAAACCCAGCAGGAATCTGTTACCGAAGGCGAAAAACCCTAAGGAGTGAATCCAGCAGGAACCTTTCTGCCAGAGATGAAGCCCTAAGGGGTGAATCCAAGAAGAACGTTTCACCGAAGACGAAAACCCTAAGGAGTAAACCCAGCAGGAACCTATTACCGAAGACAAAAACCCTAAGGAGTAACCCTAAGGAGTGGATCCAGCAGGAAGCTTCGACCGAAAAGGAAAACCTGTCAAAAACAAGAAAAAGCAGGGAGTCACAGATGACCCGCGTTGCTGTGTGAAAACAACATTGAAAAGCATGGCAAAAGGGTCGGGAGTCACAGATGACAGGCGCTTGTTTGACAGGAAATCACAGGCCTCCCAATGAATAAGAGCACTTTCGGGTGAGGTGATGTGTGGTTATGCCAGGCGGAGGGAGTCACAAATGACGGGGATTTACCTGGCCAACAGCCAGGAACGTAGGGAGTCACAAATGGCAGAAATAGGGAGTCACAAATGACAGGAGTGCCGTTGGTTGGGAGCATCAGCTTGAGCCCCAAAGGCCCTAAGCTTAAGCAAGCCTTAGACCGCCTGAAGCCATACCCCCCAACACCCGAAGCTGAGAGCATGAACTCTTTCTGCGTGCTGAGCCCTACCACCGAAGTCCACGCGCAAGGGAAAGGCCCAGAAGCCGAGCCCTCCATGAGCAGGACACGCACGGCAAGACCCCGCTTGACAAAGCTGCCTTTTACGGCCACGAGAAGATTGCCAAGAGTCTTATTGACGCAGGCGCAGATGTTGCTTCCAGAGAAGGCTTTTCTCGCCAGATAGGGAGAAGGTGTTTGGGGAGGCAAGCAGAAGAGGTTAGACGGGGCCCTTGTGAACTGGATGTATTTGGGTTCTTACATCTGCTGTTGCGGTTTCGGTCCAAGTGCGGCTTGATAGTTGGCTCTCCAACGCCCCAGCTGAGAGTTCTGAATGCTTGACATCTGATGACGGGGCCATGCAAGGGTTCTCAAAGAAGGGTCGCTGCAAAAATCTCCATCATCATCGGTGAGCTGAAAAAAGCCAAGTGCTGTGGTCTTAGGGATGCCAGGTGCCCAAACGAGAGTTTTTTTCGGGTCAGCCCCGAGCCCCGGGATTAACACACTGCCGTCAGGAGATGTTGTTGATCTCTGACAGTTGTTGAGCCCACGATTGACACGGTATTGAGTATTGAGAGTTTTGATGTTTCGGAGGCATCAGACACAGGCAGGTGGTCAGCAGAAATAGGACAGGGTCATCTCAGCATCATGTGTATGCACGTTTGCACGGCGCGGACTTCAAAGCACAAGTGCAAGTGCCAACACGAGGTCCAAGTCGGATGCCCCAACGCACATAAGGGGTCGTTTGGATCGGCCATGTTCGGGTTTCGCGCAGGTTCCAGTTCGGGGTTTGAAACGGGGAGTCCGGAAAGTCCTTCAGGAATCGCCTCGAAGGCTGAGGTTCACTCGGCAACTCAATTCTGGCACATGCGGAGGGTGGAGGGGGGCGGGGGGAATCTCAAGATTCGTGGCCCGTGCCGGGTCCTTATAACTTCCAACCCAAGACTGGTGGCCGTCATGAGCCAGGCGGAACTATCCTTGTCAGCAACATCCCTCCACAGCTACTAACGTGTTTGGGGGCCTTGGAAATCCGTGTCGCGAGGCCAGGCACCTGCTAGTTGGCATACGTTCGCAGCTGCGATTGATATACAACTCTTGCATGGGTTTTCCTTGACCACCAAGTGTCAACGGCTTAGCCGCTGATTGCGAGTCCTTTGTTATTGTGCCTCTCCTTACAAGACCCGTCGTGCTGCCGGGCCACGTGTTGAGGCAAGGTATATCAATATCGTATCAGTAGATTGCGGATCCTGGTGAATGCAGGTGCGGACGCCAATGCGAAGGACCTCCGCCGCAGCTTATGAAGTGGCGGGCATTTAGGGTTTAGGGTGACTCCTGTCTTGCGGTTGCTGGTGTACAAGTACCTTTGGTTGGTCGGATGCGTGCGGACACTTCTGTCTGGAGGAAAGCGGATCTCCGCAGCCCGAGCCTACCGGCCTACCATCCCCAGTGCATAACCCTTCGTGCTGTTATCCCATGTTGGACATAAGGCAGGGTGGAGCTAAAGCCTGAAATTTCATGAGTTTGGAGGAAGCTAGGTCGGATAGGCTGATGCTGAAGCTGAGCCCTCTCACCATGAGCAGGACACGGACGGCAAGACCCCGCTTCACGAAGCTGCCTTTCACGGTCACGAGAAGATTGCCAAGATTCTTGTTGACGCAGGCGCAGATGTTGCTTTTCTCTTTCTCGCCAGATAGGGAGAAGGTGTTTGGGGAGGCAAGCAGAAGAGGTTAGGCGGGGCCCTTGTGAACTGGGTGTATTTGGGCTCTTACATCTGCTGTTGCGGCTTCGCTCCAAGTGCGGCTTGATAGTTGGCTCTCCAACGCCCCAGCTGAGAGTTCTGAATGCTTGACATCTGATGACGGGGCCATGCAAAGGTTCTCAAAGAAGGGTCGCTGCAAAAATCTCCATCATCATCGGTGAGCTGAAAAAAGCCAAGTGCTGTGGTCTTAAGGATGCCAGGTGCTCAAACAAGAATTTTTTTCGGGTCAGCCCCGAGCCCCGGGATTAACACACTGCCGTCAGGAGATGTTGTTGATCTCTGACAGTTGTTGAGCCCACGATCTGCACGGTATTGAGTATTGAGAGTTTTGATGTTTCGGAGGCATCAGACACAGGCAGGTGGTCAGCAGAAATAGGACAGGGTCATCTCAGCATCATGTGTAGGCACGTTTGCACGGCGCGGACTTCAAAGCACAAGTGCAAGTGCCAACACGAGGTCCAAGTCGGATGCCCCAACGCACATAAGGGTCGTTTGGATCGGCCATGTTCGGGTTTCGCGCAGGTTCCAGTTCGGGGTTTGAAACGGGGAGTCCGGAAAGTCCTTCAGGAATCGCCTCGAAGGCTGAGGTTCACTCGGCAACTCAATTCTGGCACATGCGGAGGGTGGAGGGGGGCGGGGGGAATTCAAGATTCGTGGCCCGTGCCGGGTCCTTATAACTTCCAACCCAAGACTGGTGGCCGTCATGAGCCAGGCGGAACTATCCCTGTCAGCAACATTCCCCACAGCAACTCACGTGCTTGGGGTATCCTGGGAATCTCTGTCGCGAGGCCAGGCACTTGTTACGTAGCATAACGCTCGCAGCTGCGATTGATGTACAACTCTTGCATGGGTTTTCCTTGTACAAGACCCGTCATGCTGTCGGGCAAGGTGTTGGGTAGGTTGCAGATCTTGGTGAATGCAGGTGCGGACGCCAATGCCAAGGACCTCCGCCGCAGCTCATGAAGTGGCGGTTAACCTGGGTTAGTATGCAGGGTTTAGGATTTGGGGTGACTGCGGTCTTGCGGTTGCTGGGGCATCTCTCGTTGGTCGGACGTGTGCAGAAACTTTACTCGGTATGACAGCGGATCTCCGCAACACGAGCCTATCATTCCCAGTGCATGATGCTTTATGCAGTTATCCCATTTTGGACATAAGGTTGAAGCTGCATGTCTTTCTGGTTTCCTGTCAGTTTTGAATGAAGCGAGGTTTTGGGCAAGAGACTATGCAGTGGCAGGGTCCACGTTTCGAATTCCAGCTTCTGGGCCGTACATTCGCTGAGGTTGGAAGGCGGCGGGTCTCTATCGAGTCGAAGAATCGTGGCCATTGAGCCCATCCCGTTAATTTCCTGAGCTCTACAGTGATGTGTAGATGACTAGATGTTTGTGGGCTGTAGAGAAGCCCCCTACACCGGAACATGGTTGTTTCAGTAAACTGGACCGCTGCTTCAGTGAACTGGAATGCTGTTTCAGTGAACTGAACCGCTGTTTCAGTGAACTGGTCAGGGGCGTAGGGTAGGGTAGGGGAGGCTACAGTAGGAGGTTGTGGGCAGTTGGGATTGGGTAGGTTGCATAGAGTCAGGCTTTTTCGCTTCATCCACAAAACGTTGGCTGTTCTGCCCTTCCCCGTCGACAAACCGTTTGATGTTGTGCCTGGAGCAGGGTGGTAGGGTAGTGGGGTAGGATAGATAGGGGTAGGGCGGGCCGTCAAGTCCGATAGGTTGGTAGTGTAGATGGGAGGCCGTCAGGGCAGGAGGGCAGGGTGGGGTATGGATGGGGGGTTGGACAGGTGTTTTTGGGTAGGGTAGGATAGTTTATCGAAGGTGGTGCGGGTGGATGGGGTTGTGTAGGTTTTGTAGGGTAGGCTAGGGGAAGGTTGGTGGATGTGCAGGCTTAGGGTCGGTTGGGGTATGCTAGAGTAGGGCAGGGCAGGGTAGGGCGGGTGGATGTACAAAGGATGGGTTGCGTGGATTTTGCAGGGTAGGGGAGGGGCGGGGACTGTGGGTGGTTGTGGGTGGATGGGAGGGTAGGTTCGGGTGGTGGTGTGGGTGTGGGTTAGTGGGGCAGCTTCGGGTAGTCGGTCGGGTTTAGGGTAGGGTGGGGGTGTAGGGCAGGGTGGGGGGACAGCAGATCTTTGTGGGTCCCACAAAGTGGGGTACGGTAGTTAGGGTGGGCTAGGGTAGGGTAGGGTAGAAGATGGTGTTGGGTAGGTCTTCTGGGTAGGGTAGGGTGGAAGGAGGTTTGGTAGGTTTTCTGGCGTGGTGTGGGTGGATGGGGTTGTGTAGGAGGTCCCCCCTGCACCCGAAACCCTAATCCCCAATTTACCTTCCCCATGTTTTGTCAAGGGGTTTATAGGGTTCTGCGGTTCTGCGTTTCAACATCAGATTACGCCCCAAAGGCCCTAAGCCGTGTAGGCCCTAGACCGCCTGAAGCCTACGCCCCAACACCCGAAGCTCAGAGCCTGAAAGTCTTTCTGCGTGCTTAGTCCTACCACCGAAGTCCAAGGGCAAGGGAAGGGCCCAGAAGCCGAGCCCCCATGGGCAGGAGAAGTACGGCAGGACACCGCTTCACGGGGCTGCCTCTAACGGCCACGAGAAGACTATCCAGGTTCTGCTGGATGCAGGCGCAGATGTTACTTCCGAGAACGCTTTTCTCGCCAGATATGGGGGAGGTGTTTGGGGAGGCAAGCAGCAGAGGTTAGGTGGGGCCCTTGTGAACTGGGTGTATTTGGGCTCGGGCTCTTGTATCTGCTGTTGCGGCTTCGCTCCAAGTGCGGCTTGATAGTTGGCTCTCCAACGCCCCAGCTGAGAGTTCTGAATGCTTGACATCTGGTGATGGGGCCATGCAAGGGTTTTCCAAGAAGGGTCGCTGCAAAAATCTCCATCATCATCGGTGAGCTGAAAAAAGCCAAGTGCTGTGGTCTTAGGGATGCCAGGTGCTCAAACAAGAATTTTGTTCGGGTCAGCCCCGAGCCCCGGGATTAACACACTGCCGTCAGGAGATGTTGTTAATTTCTGACAGTTGTTGAGCCCACGATCTGCACGGTATTGAGTATTGAGAGTTTTGATGTTTCGGAGGCATCAGACACAGGCAGGTGGTCAGCAGAAATAGGACAGGGTCATCTCAGCATCATGTGTAGGCACGTTTGCACGGCGCGGACTTCAAAGCACAAGTGCAAGTGCCAACACGAGGTCCAAGTCGGATGCCCCAACGCACATAAGGGGTCGTTTGGATCGGCCATGTTCGGGTTTCGCGCAGGTTCCAGTTCGGGGTTTGAAACGGGGAGTCCGGAAAGTCCTTCAGGAATCGCCTCGAAGGCTGAGGTTCACTCGGCAACTCAATTCTGACACATGCGGAGCGTGGAGGGGGGCGGGGGGAATTCAAGATTCGTGGCCCGTGCCGGGTCCTTATAACTTCCAACCCAAGACTGGTGGCCGTCATGAGCCAGGCGGAACTATCCCTGTCAGCAACATTCCCCACAGCAACTCACGTGCTTGGGGTATCCTGGGAATCTCTGTCGCGAGGCCAGGCACTTGTTACGTAGCATAACGCTCGCAGCTGCGATTGATGTACAACTCTTGCATGGGTTTTCCTTGTACAAGACCCGTCATGCTGTCGGGCAAGGTGTTGGGTAGGTTGCAGATCTTGGTGAATGCAGGTGCGGACGCCAATGCCAAGGACCTCCGCCGCAGCTCATGAAGTGGCGGTTAACCTGGGTTAGTATGCAGGGTTTAGGATTTGGGGTGACTGCGGTCTTGCGGTTGCTGGGGCATCTCTCGTTGGTCGGACGTGTGCAGAAACTTTACTCGGTATGACAGCGGATCTCCGCAACACGAGCCTATCATTCCCAGTGCATGATGCTTTATGCAGTTATCCCATTTTGGACATAAGGTTGAAGCTGCATGTCTTTCTGGTTTCCTGTCAGTTTTGAATGAAGCGAGGTTTTGGGCAAGAGACTATGCAGTGGCAGGGTCCACGTTTCGAATTCCAGCTTCTGGGCCGTACATTCGCTGAGGTTGGAAGGCGGCGGGTCTCTATCGAGTCGAAGAATCGTGGCCATTGAGCCCATCCCGTTAATTTCCTGAGCTCTACAGTGATGTGTAGATGACTAGATGTTTGTGGGCTGTAGAGAAGCCCCCTACACCGGAACATGGTTGTTTCAGTAAACTGGACCGCTGCTTCAGTGAACTGGAATGCTGTTTCAGTGAACTGAACCGCTGTTTCAGTGAACTGGTCAGGGGCGTAGGGTAGGGTAGGGGAGGCTACAGTAGGAGGTTGTGGGCAGTTGGGATTGGGTAGGTTGCATAGAGTCAGGCTTTTTCGCTTCATCCACAAAACGTTGGCTGTTCTGCCCTTCCCCGTCGACAAACCGTTTGATGTTGTGCCTGGAGCAGGGTGGTAGGGTAGTGGGGTAGGATAGATAGGGGTAGGGCGGGCCGTCAAGTCCGATAGGTTGGTAGTGTAGATGGGAGGCCGTCAGGGCAGGAGGGCAGGGTGGGGTATGGATGGGGGGTTGGACAGGTGTTTTTGGGTAGGGTAGGATAGTTTATCGAAGGTGGTGCGGGTGGATGGGGTTGTGTAGGTTTTGTAGGGTAGGCTAGGGGAAGGTTGGTGGATGTGCAGGCTTAGGGTCGGTTGGGGTATGCTAGAGTAGGGCAGGGCAGGGTAGGGCGGGTGGATGTACAAAGGATGGGTTGCGTGGATTTTGCAGGGTAGGGGAGGGGCGGGGACTGTGGGTGGTTGTGGGTGGATGGGAGGGTAGGTTCGGGTGGTGGTGTGGGTGTGGGTTAGTAGGGCAGCTTCGGGTAGTCGGTCGGGTTTAGGGTAGGGTGGGGGTGTAGGGCAGGGTGGGGGGACAGCAGATCTTTGTGGGTCCCACAAAGTGGGGTACGGTAGTTAGGGTGGGCTAGGGTAGGGTAGGGTAGAAGATGGTGTTGGGTAGGTCTTCTGGGTAGGGTAGGGTGGAAGGAGGTTTGGTAGGTTTTCTGGCGTGGTGTGGGTGGATGGGGTTGTGTAGGAGGTCCCCCCTGCACCCGAAACCCTAATCCCCAATTTACCTTCCCCATGTTTTGTCAAGGGGTTTATAGGGTTCTGCGGTTCTGCGTTTCAACATCAGATTACGCCCCAAAGGCCCTAAGCCGTGTAGGCCCTAGACCGCCTGAAGCCTACGCCCCAACACCCGAAGCTCAGAGCCTGAAAGTCTTTCTGCGTGCTTAGTCCTACCACCGAAGTCCAAGGGCAAGGGAAGGGCCCAGAAGCCGAGCCCCCATGGGCAGGAGAAGTACGGCAGGACACCGCTTCACGGGGCTGCCTCTAACGGCCACGAGAAGACTATCCAGGTTCTGCTGGATGCAGGCGCAGATGTTACTTCCGAGAACGCTTTTCTCGCCAGATATGGGGGAGGTGTTTGGGGAGGCAAGCAGCAGAGGTTAGGTGGGGCCCTTGTGAACTGGGTGTATTTGGGCTCGGGCTCTTGTATCTGCTGTTGCGGCTTCGCTCCAAGTGCGGCTTGATAGTTGGCTCTCCAACGCCCCAGCTGAGAGTTCTGAATGCTTGACATCTGGTGATGGGGCCATGCAAGGGTTTTCCAAGAAGGGTCGCTGCAAAAATCTCCATCATCATCGGCCAGGAGCTGTAACCTTAGGGATGTCAAGTGCCAAGCAAGAAGTTCGTTTTTGCGGTCATCTTCATGTGCAGGCATGCATGACGGGTTGTTTGGATCAGCCATTTCGGGTTTCACATAGGTTCCAGGTTCAGGGTTTGAAGCGCAGACTCGGGAGAGGTCTTCAGGAATCGCCTCCTAGGCTAACCTGGGACATTTGTCGTGAGGCCAGGCACCTGTTAGTTATCGGGGGGAAGTGTTGCGGCCGTAACAACGCAGCTGCGATTGATATACAGCTCTTGCATGGTTTTTCTTGACTCAGATTCTTGACCACCCATTGTCAACGGCTTAGCCGCTGATTTCGAGTCCTTTGTTATTGTGCCTCTCGTTACAAGACCCGTCATGCTGTCGGGCCAGGTGTTGAGTAGGTTGCAGATCTTGGTGAATGCAGGTGCGGATGTCAACGCGAAGGACCTTCGCGTTGGTCGGACGCATGCAGAAACTTTCTACCCGGTATGAAAGTGGATCTCCGCAGCCCGAGCCTACCATCCCCAGTGCATATAAGCCTTTGTGCTGTTGTCCCATGTTGGGCATAAGGCAGTTTCCAGTCTTGCAGTTGTAGGATATCGCCCTAGCTTTACAACTCCAATGTATGACGTAGTGTGTAAGTGTGAGCTAGGTTGGAGCTACAGCTAGAGCCTGACAGTTCCTGACTTCCTGACTTTTCCAGGGAGGCGGACAGGACTGCTGGCTTGTGTTGCGTGTCTGTTGGAATTGCTGTGGGTTCCGGCCCGCTTGTGGTACTCCCTTGCGCATGCAAGCACACACTGCCTGGCAGGAATTCAACTGGTCTCTCCGTCGCTATGGATGCAAGGTAAGCTGGGCGACAGGATTCCTCGCTTATCACAAAGTGGCGGAACTGCCAGATACTGCCAACACCGCACGCGCCTGCGCCCTGCGTTCCATGAGCTTTGGGGAAAAGCTGTCCATGGCGGTCTGGGAGCCGCTGACCTACGCAGTCCCGGCAGCCACGCTGGCCGTGGCTTTCGTGGCTGTGGCTGTCGAGGCCTTCGCCAAGTCGGCCCAACGTGGCCAACACGTGCCTTTGCCAACGGATGAAGACGGTGAGCCCTCAAACTTTCTCAGAAGTGCGAGGATCCAGGTTGCGAAGGCACGGACAAAGTGCAAGGGCCTCAAGCTCGCCTTCAGAGCCCTGGAAGTTATGGTGAATGGCAGCCTGTTGGGCGGAATGGCCATGATCATTGTTTGGTGGCCTGTTTGGCTTGCCGTACTTGCTGTAGCTTTTGTCTTTCCAGCAGCTTGCCAGTACGGCTTGCTGCAGGTGGTCCAAGTGCCAGCACTGGCAATTGCATCGCCTCAGAACCGGAGCTGGCTAAGCATGCTGCGCTCGTTCGTGCTCGTTGGACTCGTAGTTCCCGAATGTTTTTGTCTGGCTTGGAGAGCGAAGCACCAAGAATCTGATTTGAATTGGATTTGTAGGCCGATAAACCCTTTGGTGTCCGATATAGGCACCACCATGCAGGTTTGGTATTCAAGGACGCTCTCCGATGACATAGAAGCACTGCCCCTGTGGCCCAAGGAATACACCGCCCAGGCTGAAAGCCTGCCGCGGGTGTCAGCACTGGAGATATCCTCGTACTTTCTCTTGTTGCAGGTGTTTTGTTTGCTTGTATACATCATGGCATTGTTGGTGCAAGGTGTGCGAGGGGCTTGTTGCCATACGGCAACAGCCACAGAACATGGAAATGAGCCGGGGCCGACACTTGCCCGGCAGCTCGCAAGCGACGGCTTGCAAGCAGTGCAGCACAAGCTGCCCACACTGACCAAAGTGCAGTGGGAGCAGAAGCACTGCTTCGACATGGATGCACTGAAAATTAAGATGTTTTTCATGGCGCTCGACGTTCTCCTGGACATCAACACGATATTCAGCCTGCTGGTGTCGAGGACTGCTTGTCTCATGTTGTTTTTTCCACTTTGCTAAACTGCAGTCCAATAGGAACTACAAGTTCGCGGCGTGCCTTACCTTCGTCGTCACGAGAAGTACGACAAAGCAACTGGGAAATCTGGGAAGCTTCAAGAAGGCGGGGCCAGCAGTCATGTGCAGCTCGTGCGATGAGTTTAAGCGAACCTAGCTACTCCACACTTCCACGTGCAATTTGGCCGCCCAGAGGCATGTAAGGACCGTCCGCAAATCACAGACATGATGTTGCATATACATGTATGTATATGTAGATGTATATGTATACGTATATGCACAGATATATCCAAAACGTCATAAGTCTTCGCTTGCGCGTTACTGTACGGCACTTTAAGTTTCATTCCGATGTCAGTTTATCCCTTGTAATGGTGCCATGAGAAGTTTTCCAGATGCAGATCTGAGTTTTGGCGGGGACAGGCCCTGGATGAAAGTGTTCACCGTGGACTTCTTGACCGGGTAGTGCTGCGCGGCTTCGCATCAGACTGCCACCACCACTTCTGTGAGCGGCTCCACTTGTTCTCCGGAAACTGCTTGCGCTCACCCCGACCCGTTGTTTCGGTCGGGTGGAGCGGTCTTGTGATTCTACAGGCTCTTGAAGTGCTCTCGGAATGCACCTCATTCTGGGGGTATGGAGCGTGGGGTGGGGTCGAGTTTGCGCAGTTTGAGGTCTATGGCGTCGTGGATTTCGGGCTTTGGTTTTGCTATGCGAAAGCATGCCCTCCATTTTTGTAGCAAGAAACAGTACGGTAGCAGTACAGCAGTGGTCCTGCAAGGATACTGTATGAGGAATTCGACAGCATGTCTCTTCAGCAAAGAACCGGACATCCAGTCCTTTTCTCGGCGACCAGCGGGATCCTTCCTAATCCTGTCAAGTGGCAAGGGGGTCAGGTCGGTTAGGTTGATTATCCAGTGGTATGTTATGATATTGTTGCTATGGAATCGCTTGGGCATTAGGCAGCTGCGTTACACCAAGTTCTGGTTGATATCAAGGGCAAGTTGGGGAACAAGGCAGGCCGCAAGTAAGCACCTGCACCCAAGCATCAAGAAGACATCCGCTACCTGCTGCATGTGGCTTGCCGTCCCAGGCTCGAGGTCTTTGACGAGGAGAAGGGCGCCGAAGCCTTCTTCAGCCTGATGATAACATCGTACAGCTACGTATTTTGTGTGCAGACTGCAACGCAAGCAGTTGTACAGTGCTTCAGCGTGCTCCTGAGCGTTTATGGATTGGCAGCGTTTCTAGTGGAACGTCTAGACTTAGACTACGAGCCAGAAGAGCAACCGCGGGCTGATCCTAAACCTGCAACGAAGGAGCTGCACGCCGATTCCGAAGTTCCAGTCCTGTTGAAGTCCCAAAGTCTCACAAAACAGGCCGGGCAAGGCATGACGGTGTGAAACGAGATTACCCTTAGTTGCATAGTGTGACTCTAGGGTACGTGCCCAAGCCGCCCTTGGCTCAGTTCTTAGTCGGTACAGCCTGCCCAGAGAGCTGGCGCTTATGCAATGTGTCCTTGAGCGTCTGAGGTCGAAGCTTTCGGCCGGGACTAGGAGCCAGAAGAGTCCCAAACTTGTGACGTGCGTGGGGGGGGTGTGGGCTGAAGCGGGCTTGGGGGCACCCCGTTCGGGAGCCGGTCGCTGCAGTAAGTAATGTTGTAGGGCTTGTATGGTACGACCACTATGAGGCATTGCCATGTGGACTTCTTGGAATAGGGATGTATATTTTTGCCGGGCAACAGAAACTTCATTTGTTTTATGTTTTTTGGATTGAGAACTGTACTTTAGCCACCGATTATTTTGATTTCCCACACCAAGATGTAAAACTTTTTGACTTTGTCGCAGAACTTTAATTACTATTGGGCAGTTTGTTCCATGTGGCATGTCCCTGGTAGATTGATTTTCACTGTGCAGTGCATTAGGCGGTTGATCATGAGAGGTGCCTGCATGCACTGTGTTGCACGATAGATTTTTGCGTTTTGCCTGCATCGACTCATGTGACGCATGCCGCTTCAGTCTTGCATGTTGCCCGTATGAGGTCATGTGCAAGGGCTATGATGCATGAGCATTTGTTCTTGAAATCTTGCTGCCTGCATTACCATATCGCATGGTAGCGTATTTTGGTGTTTCTTTTTTCCTGCATCTGCATGAGCTCATGTGCAAGCGGCATCATGTGCATTCATAGCATTCTTGCATGCTGGCTTGAGTACTGTTATCACGGTGGCATTTTGCATGCCTCAGCTAGTGTGCCTGGTTCTGCTGCAACTTCTTTGCTGGCACCCTGTTGCGCCGTTGCGGAGTGCTGGCACGAGTTCAGGTGCAGTGTGTGTTGCCTTTGCGTTGTGGCTCAGGGGTCGCCGCGGCCGATTGCAGCTTGCTATGTAAGTGCTTTTGGGCCCAGGGGGTGCGGCTTGCTTGCGCACCTGGGATGATCCTGCTGCGCTGGATGTAGTGCGTGTGTGCACCGTGGAGGTACAGTATCTCAGTATCTCTATTGCCACTGCCACACTGCGCTATCGTTTGCAATGCTTAAGCTGCTTATACTGTCGCTTAGCGTAGCTATGTTTGCGCTGCTCAGACTACATGCTTTCGTTGCAATCCCTGGCAAGCACTGGTCACTAGACACTACACGGTACTTCAAGCGCGTGGTGTCGACGGTTGCCGCATGTGCCACATGTGCAGTCATGCAGTCAGGTTTGCCGCAGTTTGCGTCTGTTGCAACACAAGCTTTTGCTCATGCTCATGAATGCTCATGTTGACTCATGTTTGGTTGCCGCACGCGCCTCTGCTCGTAGCACTTCCAAAGTGTCACACTGTCACAATCAATCAACTACTTAGTTGGGCTGTAGCTTCGTTGCAAGCCACGGACTGTAGGTAGACGTATAGATTATAGGATTGCACAGGACCCTCACGTGTTTCAGTTTCATTGATTTCAATCACATAAGATAATCACATGCATGAGAGCATGCATTATGAAGTTCATTGAAGATCATGATTCATGACGCATTTTAAGCATTCATCGGGTAGGCTTTTGCTGACCGGTCTCCCTGTCTCACTCATGGCGGCCCATCCCGCCATTTCGTCAGTGTTATTTGCTCTCGGGCAAAAAGTTAGAACATCCAACGTTGGCGGGGTCATATCCAAGGCGGACTTGCTTGACGTGATCGTTGTATTTTGCGATTCGGAGGCATCGGCTTCGAATGCGGTTCAACGTACTCGTGAGGTGGTGCAACGTAGAGTGAATCGTTGGTTGAAGACGAACTCTCCGGAAAGAGCCGGCTATCTACACATTGTCGACGGTCTCCGGGCACCGCTCTCTGTGGAGTATTTTGGTCCTGATGTTGTGGTGGAGGTGCTCCGGCATTTCGGAGCCGTTATCACAGATGAGTCTCGAGGTGACTTTGTGCACAGGATGCAAGGGAGTGACAGTGCCACAGGAGAGGACATGGCAATTCATCTTGATCCTCACCCGGCTCCTGCTTGCCCAAATGCACCCATCAGTCGCATGGGTTCCATGGAATCCGAAGGGGCTGCTCGGACTGCCCGTGATGATGATGATGCTGAGAGTGGTGCTGCCGCTGCTGCTGCTGCCTCTTCTGGCACAGATGCAGTTGCGATGTTTGACCCTGAATTTCATCCTGTGCCTGCTGGTCCTGCCGTTGCAGCTGCAGAGGGAGAAGCGGCCGAAGATAATGTGCACAAAAGAAAAAAACGCAGGGTTAGGGGCAACAGTGATTCTGTGGCAACACTCTTTGATGAGTACAAGCAGAAATATCAACATTATTCCCACGATGATCTTGTCAGAGAGGTCATGTTGCATGAGAAGAATTGCACCCAATTTCGAGAAGACAGCTTGGCCAAAGATGGGACCATACAGAATCTGCAGAAGAAGTTGAAGACTGCACAACAACAACTTCGGCGAATAACGAAGGCCAAGACGAGAGCGAAAGCAAGAGCAGCATCAGCAGCACCAGCATCCACAAAAAGGAGAGCCAAAGGACAGCGACAGCAGCATGAAAGCAACACCTTGCCAGACTACCTTCGGGCTAAGCAGAAGTTGGCGATCACGCGGACAGGCGCGGGTGAAGATGCTCCAGGTAGATACCTCACGGTCCCTAGTACGGTGGCCCTGGCTTTGAGACGGAACTTGAGCAACGTGTCCTGTGCTGACCTGGGGTTGGTAATTCTGGACGACGCTAGCAGGTGGAGTGTGTCTAGGTCAGAGGTAAGGGCTGGGGCAGCTGCCACGGCTTCAATGCGTGAGTGGCATGCAGGGATGCTCCAGGAGATGTTTCATCCAGATGGTGCAGAGGATTTCAATCTGTCTTTGCACATCGTGTCCCAAGATGCAACGAATTCTGGAATCTGGCAAAAGCGCAAGTTGATTGCTCTTTTGTGTCATTCTGCCTATTTGGTGTCGTTGCCGTCCAAATTCAGATGGTCCTGGCATGACATGTTTCGCGAAATTCGGGCCATTGCAGATGTGCAACCAGTGGAAGATGGAAGCGGCCAAGGCTCTGTTTCGATGACGACAAAAATGCTAAAGAGCATAAACTGCCCGACAGTGCATGACTTGGTTGCCAAGCATGCAGAGCTTAAAGCCGATGGTCAACAGCGTCAACAGCATCAACCCTCAGATGAGAAGCCCGCAGACGCAGATGCGAAGTTCCTTTGCGTAGAGTGGCAGCTGTAAGTCCGTAAGTAAGTTTTGCAATGTGTGTCGTGCGTTGATTTCGTGAGTTGACGTGTTTTTGTCTATCGGGAAACACGACAACATGACAACATACCCACTCCACATCTGCCCAAGTCCGGCCTGAGTCCTAAACCGAAGCCAAGACCTAGACAACCTAGATTGCCTAGTAGCCTAGACTGCATCCGCCTGTCTGTCTATGTTTATGTTGTCTGTACATTGCTGCTAAGGCGGGCTGACGACTCTGTCCAGTGGCCTGTCCATGTCTATGTCTTTGTGACAGACAGAGGACCAAATGAAGTTCTTGCGCGCAAGATATGGCAGTGTGTCAGCTCTGCATGTGAGCACGTGGTGGTGCTAGGAAGTGATTGCCTGGAGCATGCAGCTCATTTGGTCACAGTCAGCTCACTTAAGCTCGTTGACAAGCTCTTGCCATTGCAATTCGAAGGGAAAGGTCGTGCATGGAAGTACTTTTCATCGCTTGCGACTTTCTCCATCACCGTGCGGGATTCATCCAAAGACTTTTTCCAGATGTGGTGTCAAGAACACGGAGATTTGTCCGGTGTCAAGCACGCCAAAAGTCTTTGGCCGAAGTGCGTGGCAGGACGTTGGAATTCCTGCAGCGACGTTGAGCGTCGAATGCACGATTCTGGTGGGCAGGCTACGGTTTTACCGGTGATGCGACGACTCATGGGAGCCAAGCGCGAGGCGGCGCCAGCTAAAGAACACCAGAGCATCGACGAGATTGCTGTAGAGGAGACTGCTCATTACACCCAACAGATGGGCAGGTGGCGTGCCACCACCCTCAAATGCGTGGAGGACCCGTTGTGGTGGACAGTAGCTGAAGCTATGAGGATGGCACGTTCGCCTGCACTGCACCTCTCGGTTCCTCGCGGCTTGCAGTCTGCAGCATGCATTGTGACATTGTGTGGCTGTGTGGCTGTGGCAATGCAATGCTTATAAAGTCTTGTAGTGATCTGTGATCTGTGCGCAGACAGACAGACAAATACGAACAGATGCGCGCCCGCCCGCCCGCGCGAACACACACACACACACACACACACACACACACACACACACACACACACACACACACACACACACACACACCCACACACACACACACACAAACACACACCACACACACACACACAAACACACACACACACACACACACCGATACCCACACACCCACGCCCACACCCACGACCCACGCCCACGCCCGCACCCACACCTAGGCGCACATGCAGCACATGCACACGCACACGCACATGCACACGGTGCACACGGGCATGTGCTGCTGGATGCGCCTCCGCAATGCTTGCCTGCAGTTACTGCCTGCAGTTGCTCAATCGTTTTCGTCGTAGATGTCCGCACATGGCACGCGGCAGCAGCAGTCATGGTCGGTCATGGTGACATGCCATCTTTTGTTGGAAATCTGTTATCTGATGTTGAACTGTTGCTTGTTTAGCCACGTTTCATGTAGGGTCACGGTCGCATGTGCGTGATGCAGTTTCAAACATCACGGTGGCAATCGGCGCGAGTACATCAACAGTCAGAGTATCAGAGTAGGCTGTCTGAACGGATGAGTTATCAAGTTATCAACATCATCTTCATCTTCAACTCATGTTCAAAGGAAATGATCATTGATCGATATCGGATCAGCACCATCACTGCGGTCATCGCCGGGTACTTCCTCACACAACCGTTCATCCGTTCCTCTTGACTCTCATGTCGTCTCATGTCTCATATCTGCTGCTAGCTCTCAGGCTGTCAGGCATATGTGTTGACTCGACCATGTTTTGTTGTCGCGTTCTCACTGTGTGCGGATGACTCGTCTCTTGTGATTGGACATGTTCATGCAGGCTTTCCTGAAAAAACACGTGTCGGAAGAGGACCTGGATGGGAAAGGCCATAAAATGGCGCAGCTTGTAGACGGGAAGGCTCAGCAGCTGTTCGAGGAGTTCGAAACACTGTTCCACGACACATCTGCGGGGGCTCTTCTGAGCATGCAGGAATTTCAAGCGTTGTCTGCAGTTGAATCGGACTTTGCTTTGGGTCTCTTGGCTCAGGCGCTCATGATGAATGCGTCTGGATTTGACAGGCGTGTGCGCCAACACTGCCTGGACTTCCCGCACCTGCTCCTTGTGTTAGCACGAGTACGCCCAGAATTTCCGGACAGGAGCCGTCAAAACATCGCCAAACTGTTGTTGAAGTGTGCAGCTGGACATACTCTTGATGCATCCACCAAGAAGATAGCCTCAATTTTCCAAGATGATGTGCAGAAGGCGGCCGACGATGGAACCCTTGGTGTACGCATGTACATATTCCTGAGGGCTTTGCGCCGTCTATGGTTTTGTGATGTGCGGGAGAACGAGCGGATTAACAAATGTCTCAAGTTGTTGGGGCAGAGATGCCCAAATGCAAACCTAGATCTTGTCAGCGCACGCTGTACCTTGAAATACATGCTTGGCACGGTAGGAGCATTACAGAGAGGACTGGACGTGAATGTCAAAACACGCAAGTGGTCACACATCGCCCCTTTGGCAGCAAGCGTGGCAGACACCTGCCTCGAACATTGGCAGGCGTCACAGGAGGTAATGGAGCAAGAGGAACGTTGGGCACCGGCCAGCACACCTCCATGGATGCCAACCCCAGAAGCTGTTGCTGCTGATGCTGCGTCCCCAGCTGCCACAAAAACTAAAGCGCCCAAGGTAGCAGCGTCGAGTCTTCTTGCCGCACATGTCAACAGAAGCCTCTTCCGCTTCTACGACAAAGGCGAATATCAACGCGGTGCTGAGATTGAGGTTCCCCCGCTGACGGCCGTGCTGTTTGTCAACAAGAAACAAGTTGCCCAAAACTCTTTGTGCTCTTTTCCAGATGCCGCAAACATGTATTTCATCAGCGAATCAGTTAATCGTGCTATCCGCTTGTTGAAGGGAACCTTGCATCATACGACTGATGGCTTTGTTTGCAAACCAAATCGCCCCTGGACATTTGTTTGGGCAGCAGACGCCGTGATGGAAGTTGTCAAAACCACTCCCAAGTCTTCGTCGCAGTTGGTTGCCGTTGCTGTACCTTTGCAGTGGTCTTGCAGCGCATCGTCGATGGGGCTAACAGGAAGAGGGGCTTGCACCGTGAGGGAGGATGAGCGACATGCACGTGTGGCCGAGGCTGGATCAGCTGAGCATCTGCCTGCACGGTTTGCTTGTGCTTGTGCTGATGTTGGTTGGTTGGCCTGGTTGGCTGTTTGCATTGGTTTTGTTCAGTGTTGCTTCCAGGGATGCTGAGGCAGCGCAGTGTTAACACTGTAGTAGCAATTGTAGCAGCGGTTGCTGAGTGGCAGAGGCAGTTCTTGTTTGTTACTAATGTCACTAATGTCACTGATACATTGCTCATATCGCCCCATGGTGCCTATGCAATGCCAATGTGACATGTGCAATAACGCCAGTCACTTATGTCACCGCATTTGGATGATGAATGATGATGATGGTTAGTTACTCGTCGTCGATACGGTTATTTATGGCGGTTATGACGGTTTTCGATCTCGGTCTGTAGCGTGATGGGAGGTCTGTGATCTTCAAATCCCATCAGCGGCTGATGAAGCAGTCGTGCAAAGTCTGGTCGCCTCCCGGTCCCAAGCCCAGGGCGGAGAACCCCTCAACAAGGATGCTAGCAAGGCTAGCAAGGAGTCCACGGAAAGTTTGGTGGAAGTGCCGCCGCTACCGAGTTCCAGTTCATCCAGCTCCAAGGGACCCGAGCCTGCGATCACAGAACCATCTCTATCCCCTTGGATGGCAGCAGCTCTGGCAGAGATACGACGCAAAGAACGCGAGGACTTCCGTGAAGGTGAAGACCAGGCCGGTGACGACGAGCTTCACACTGAGAAAGATGTGGACACAAACTCGGGTCTAGATGCAGGTAGGTTACAAGAAGTTCTGCGTGGGGCTTTCGGGCTTACTGATGCGTATGATCTCGAGACCGCGGACTTGCAAGCACTGGATGAGGAAGGTTCCTTGTCGTCGGCACAGGCCAAGGAGGAGAGATTGATAAACGAGGCGTTGGACCAGGGCAAGGTCAAGAAGGATCGATTGTCGCAATTGTCGCATGTCGTGACATCCATGATTGATGCTGGCGCAGACCCAGAAGATGCGGTGGCCGAAGCCATATTGAATGATGTGCAGGTGATGGGCAACTCAGACTCTGTGTCTGTGAACGAACACGACGATCCAGATCCGGAACAGTCCGAACATGCGCCTGCAGCAGAACCTACCAACGACAGCATTCCTGTCGCCTTTGGGGTATGGCAGGATGCGGTGAACTTTTCACTGGAATGCTTACAGGAGCGGCGTCAAGCATGTAATGGCAAAGCTGTCGGAGAGAATAAAGAAATTTCACTTGTCCTGGGTAGGGTGAAGCAGCCACGCGCAGAAGAAGAAGAGGAGTCTGTTTTCTTTGTGACATGGACGGATCCAGCAGCGGACAAAAGGGAAGGGCGACCGGTAAGGCTAGATAAGGAAAACCGTGTCGTGTGTGTCGTGGCCACCGGAGACTTGCGCGTGGCGAGGGACTATAGAGATGTTCAGATCGTTCATCCTGCGTGTGGTGCCCGCATGGAGCGTACTCGGGGCTGGAGAAACCAGCTTCGCCCACAGGTCTCGAAGAGCGTTATGCGGTTGAACAAGATGTGGAAAACAGCTCTGCTGGCTCGGGATGAATTGAGGATGCGGCGCGAAACGCCCAATCAGGCTGCATGTCTCGCTGACACGCAGCGGCAGTGCTTTGTCTGTGAGACGTCGATGGAGCAACCAACAGATGCAAATGGACCAGTCGACGATGCAAAACTCATTTGCTTGTGCCCCTGCTGCACATTACCTTCGCACGCGGCTTGCTGTCAACAGGTGGTTCGATATTCCGAGACACATGGCATTGATCTTCGTGCATCTGTGGATCTTTCCAATGCGGGGATCGCAGTCCTGGATGAACCTCCTTTCACTTGGCAAGATGCATCGCATCTTGCTTGCAAGTAGCTCAATTAGTTGTCCGGCGTCCGCAGATGACCTACAGTCTGTAACTGGGCCAAGCTAGGGTAGCGGCGGGCCGTGGTTGGTGATGCTTCATTTGGAATGATTTCTTCGAGTTGCACACATGACATGTACTGGCATGTGCTGAGTGTCAACTGCCATTCATTCAGCAGTTGGTGCACTGGCACACTGGGTTGTTGCTGATTGCTGTGGCTTCTGCGGTTGCTGTTGTTATTGTTGTTGTTGTTGCTGTTGCTGTTGCTGTTGTTGTTGTTGTGGTGGTGGTGGTGGTGGTGGTGGTGGTGGGGGCAGTGGTGGTGGTGGTGGTGGTGGTTCTGGTGGTGGTGGTGGTGGTGGTGGTGGTGGTGGTGGTGGTGGTGGTGTTGTTGTTGGCAGTGGTGGTGTTACGGTGTTGTTGCCGCTGTCGTCGCTTGCTTTGCTCCGAGGTTTCATGCGGCTTCATGTGCGTCACGTCATTGCATTGCATGCCCATGCACACGTCACGCCGCCGGCTGCCTGCATTCACTCTGCCGCTTCGTTGTTCTGCCACGGACTGACGGAGGCTACTATGCGCCGTCTGCCACGGCTTGTTGAACCCTGCGGCGCCTGCAGATTCTGGAGAAGAAGGTCGCGGCGTTGATGTACTGGTGTACTGCATTGGCATTATACTGGCATTGATTGATTGATCTTACGTAGGACTTGCAGCCTGCCCCGCTAAACCCGTACTATTCTCAGTACATTCCAAAAAAATGTTACAATCAGCCTGAGTGAGTGTTTGCCAGGTCTTGAATCGCCAAAATCGGCGGAGGCTGGATCGGGACTATCTCAGGCTGGTCTCGTGTCCGTGTCCACATGACGGTCTTGATTCGGTCTTGATGTGACACAGACAGGCAGGCTGTAGAGCTTCGAGTGCAGCTCCAACACTGGCAGGCTGAATCGATGGGGGCAGCCGGCGGCGATGATCTTTGAATCGCACTGCGCCTCACTCTTAGCCCCACCGGTGAAAACTGTTACAGGCCGTTCTTGCTGCTGTGGACTCGAGTGATCACGAGTGATGAGTGATGGTGCCAGCGGCAGACAGTCAGACAGTGGTGGTGCCAGGGGCCAGTGGTAACTGGAAGTGGTGTTGCACTCTTAGCCCCACCGGTGAAAACTGTTACAGGCCGTTCTTGCTGCTGTGGACTCGAGTGATCACGAGTGATGAGTGATGGTGCCAGCGGCAGACAGTCAGACAGTGGTGGTGCCAGGGGCCAGTGGTAACTGGAAGTGGTGTTGCTGGGTTGGCTGGGTTGTTAACTTGTGAACTTTTTAACTTAACGTTGCCTAACGTTGTTAGTTGTTGATGTTGTTGCTGCTGGCCGCGTCTGTGGTCGACAGTGCTCGGTCTAAACCGGGCGACACTGATACTGGGGTCGGCTGTGGGCTGTGATGGGCTGTGATGAGTACAGTGGTCTGTGGTGATGGTGATGGTGGTGGTGGTGGTGCTGGTGCTTGTCGTCGTGTTGGTGTTGGTGTCGGTTGCGGTCTTGAGTCTTGCTCTGGATTCTTGATGTAGCGTGTAGTGACCGTGTAGTGTAGTCCGTGTAGTGTGTAGGTGACCGTCGTGGCTGCGTGGCTGTGGTTGTTGGTCCTCGGCCTGGTGGTAGTTGGTGTGGTGGCAGAGGCGGCGGTGGTGGTGGTAAACACCGGTGGTGTTGCTGCCGTGGCTGGCTGTTGCTGCTGCTGTTGTGGTTGATGTTGATTGATAATGGTAACCTGCTGTTTTCGTCAGCTGTGCAAACCCATGGCCCATGGCCCATGTCATGCCATGCACGTGCACCCTTGTCATGACTTGCC